TAAATACATATTATATTTCTAATAGGTACTTATATCGGTTCATAATTTTAATAATATTCAATGTTATTTTAAACATCCTGTCATTGCAGAAATATTGAAAAGTGCAAAATTACTGGAGGTGATCGGTTAGTAGTAATACTCTTATAATTTGTATTATATAATTTGTGCACCTAAATCATCTCTTTTATACATAGATTCATTATTGAAGGTTTCAGCATAATGCAAGGAACACATCATTAATTTATCGGATAATAACATTTATTGTCCAGATTTAATGTAACTGACCCAAAAAATGCTTAAGTGATTAATATTTGTGTAATCTTTTAGTGGTCTTCTTTCTTAATTTTTATATCAATACAGTTTACTTTCAAATTAAAATAGTAGTAGTCTCATGGACAAATATAATATTAGGTGTCATACTTCATCTCCTTCAAATTGGTGATCATATGCATACGTGTAATATGGGGTAAATTCTTAAGGGTAGGATGTATTGGAATATGCATTCCTTGTAATATACTGAAATCGGGAATTTGTACAATAACTTGAGTACATTTTTGTCATTTTATAATATTTAGATTCAGAGTATCGAAATGTAGACAAGTGGACAGATACAGCTACAATGCGTTAAGTAAGTGTACATAAATTATTGATAGTAACATTCTATTGTAGGTATTTTAATATTCAATAATAAACAGTGCACGAACTGGACGGTAAAATATTTTAAATACTTATTAGGTAATTAGTGGCACCGAGTTTGTAGCTACTAGCATTATTCATTGTGGACTGGTGACTGGACGGAATACATATATATTCGATTCAGTGGGACTAGTTGACTCTAAAACAAATGTTGAAAGAACACCACCCAAATATCATTAATGTCATATTAGGTATGTAGCAAAATTATGTATACGTGATACGATACTGATTTATACTCCTAACTGGCATTTTAGGTACCTACTCATTGTTAACATTATTTGTAGGAGTACATTTATTTTGCAGATAATTGTCCGTACATGTTCACAGGAGTAGGTCCTGATGATCAGCCGAACTTCTTGTTTGTATACTTATTAATTTATTATATTATATAGTATTATACATATTTTTCCAATTGTAATTAAAAATTTAATAATGTACACTGTTCAAATGATATGATTACATAAGTAGATAGTTCAAATATGCAAAAACCTTATAAAAATGTATTGCGATACAGCAACATTTCGATTTTTTTGGCATCATTCCTAACCGGCAAAATACCTTTTTTTTTTAACTTAAGAGTGAAAATGTAGCCACCCTTCACGGGATTCAATAATCCACTCAATCCTTAACACCTTAGCGAGTCTCGCGGGCCCTCTATTTGTCACTGACAACTCCGGGTGGAATTGTGAGTATTACATTGTGATAGTTAAGTTTTTTTATTATTAATAGTACAACTTTTGAATGACTTGACCGAGTGAAAATGAAAGTTATGCCAATAGATTTCTTGAGTCATGGAGAGTTGTTAAAGCGATTTTTCAATCTCTATAGGACACTATATAAAATATTTATAAATAAAATTCTGCCCAATAGTAATCACTTGAAAACGACTCACAAAAAGGTTATGAGTTCTAACCTATGATAAAAATCGAAAACAATTTTTCTTATATAAAATGTACATCTTTAAACATATATTATGAGAATTGAATGTATGTTTGTAGCATATAAACTCAAAAACTACTTGATCCACATTCTAGAACTTTCAAATCGTTCTTAAAAACAACCGGAAAGGTTGTACACAAATATGTAGTAGAATTATTGGTTACGTATTATAATTTTTAAGAATATTATAATGAATAGAAGACTTATTAAACATACATTTTTTATAAAAAAATGTTTTGACACGTGCCACTCTGTCCCTTTCATTCACATTGTATTACTTTATTGCTTAGATGGCTTTGGTGTCAATAAACTCAAAGGTTCGTTAATTTTCCATTTTCTATTATTTAAAATATTGTTTTTCAATAAAAAAAAAATGTTTAAATTATAAAGCGTTTATAATTCATGGATATCAATATTACTGTGCATCTAATTAAAAAAATTATCTCTTTAATAAAGTAAGTAACAATAAGTGATATTATTTCTGGACATATGAAAGACTGTGTAACTGACTTTGTGAATGGTAATAATTGATAATAACACAATACATACCTGACATATTATATCACTATGATATAATATAATTAATTAAAATGCATACTGAGTACCTAGGTACCAATAATAAGTTCTACATTTAAAAATTAACGTTTTTATTCTTATTATTTAGGTGGCAAGTTAAGTCCAATTGAATTTTATTTAAAAAATGTTAAAGATTGAGTTACATTTAAATAATACATACTTGTCATAAACATTAAGTTTTTTAATTATGATCCAGTCAGACCACTGGATAAAGAAAAGCTGCCTGAACGGATAGGGTGAGTGAAAATCATAGACTTGTTAATATGTAGACTCAATAATATGATTTTTAATCTAAAGAGTTCATATTTATAATGTCTGTTAGTATAATTATTGTGTGGGATTATGTTATGCAATAGCAAAAATTTCAAATGTCATTAAGTTTAGTAAGGTTGTTCCTGGAACACCTCAATCATACACACCAAAGACGGCACTGCTGTATGCGCCAAACGGAGTCGTCGTACGTCTTCCACAGAGTAGTCAACACCGGAAACGAAATGCCTGGAACACAGCTTAGAGTTCAGGTTCGCAACATGACCGTTGTTGACCACAAATTCCACCCACCGGAGACGACGTGGCAGGTCAGTTGGAAATCTAAAGGGGGATGTAACGACATATATATTATAATGATGACGTGATTATTTTTAAGCTTTTAAATTATTAGAAAAATATATGAAATGTCGTAGAAACATTTAATTTAAATCAGAATCCTTGGGTATCATGAATGAAGATAAATTTGTTTTTGCCAAGAAAATGACATTTGAAATGTCGTGCTTGACAACTTATCAACTTGTCAATGCTTGAACTCTATTTTCACAACAATTTTTGTCACTCTTTGAGATATTTTAAATATTTTAGTTGAATTCTTAATTGAACCTTATTGGGGCCCCACATGATTATTTACTCAGGTGATGCACATTTAAGTATTTAACACATTTTTCATGGCAAATATTAATAGTTACAACTGTAAGTGTTCGTTGCATTTTTTTAATGTAATCTGAACCAAATAATGAGACACTTGTGTATTTTAGCGTGATATACTACCAAAAAGTTGGAGTGAAAAAGTCCATGATTCATATAATTATTGAAAAGGAAAAATATTATGTGATGCACAATCAAATTTCCTTATGTGTCACTTATAAGTTCTAACTATATATTATAACCTGGTATTAATACAACGTGCAACATTAATCATTTTTGTCGAAAATTTGAATTTGAAAATGTCGTTGTGCGCATAAAATATTCAAATAGAATAATATACCAACGAATAATATTTTTAAATTATTTAAAAATTACTAAAATCGTTATTCTATAGACTACAAAAATTCTATTGGTCGAAAATCTTCACACAAACTCTAAAATTGATATTTTGTGTCTTAAGACAAAAAACGCAATATTAAAAAAAATTATGGGCAAACAAGATGAGAATCACTCTGTGCTCCTGCAGGCACTCTGTTTTGCGGTATGTATCAACTAGTTCACTGCAATGACATAATGGTGTATTACATCAACAAAAATGACTTTCAAAACACCGAGCAGTTGTTCAAGGAACCTTGCAATTAACTGTTAAAGATGGGAAAACTAAAATAGACGAATTGTCTTACGGAAGGTTGGTTAACCAACTATGGATTGATAAAACTAAAGCCTCGTCCTCATGGACATCTGGAAAAAGACGAATTTGCTCTTTTGCTCAGTATGCAATACAATCATCTCAATCTAACACTTCAAATGCCCATCGTCCAAATCCGATGACGGAAATTAATTTAATTAATTAAGGACCCCAGACAATCTAAACTATGCATTATCACTTAGCAGATACCAAAAACATAATTTATCATTTCATAAAATTCCAAAAAAATAACACAATATAGTGTAAGAACAAAAACCGTTTTATTTTATAGTGTAAAAATAAATATTTCCAAAACTTCATTATTTACAGCTACATTATGTACAATAAATTTATAAGTTTATAACTATACAAAAAACATTAATTACCGTGCCTACTATTTTCAAGGTACTAGGGTAGATTACTCAGTTGTTTATGGACACATGTTTTACTTAGCATAACACTATAATTATCAAAATTCCAAAAATATTTTATATTATTCTTACTTTTACTTCGCGTATTGGCTGTACATTGTATTTCTTTTATTGTCCCTAAAAACATGGTCAAAAATATTAATATGTTAGCTATATTTTTTATGACAATTTGTATTGGTTATATATACTCGTATCCTGGAGAAAGTGAGTAACTATATATTTTAATATTACTTTTTATGATACATCACGGATTAATACTTATGGAGAATCATATAGGTATAAAATACATAATTGAAATTATAATAAATAGACTATCATTTTAAAGAAATAATTATTAAATAATATTATTTAATATAGAATAGTATGATAACATGTCCAAAAAAATTAAATTTTTAAAACAATTATCTTTTTGAATTTACGCAAGCAAATTATTATTATGATAATTTTTATTATCGGAAGATAAAAATTTATACCGGCTTACTTGAAATATTACATATTTTTTACTAACCATTATTTATTTTGGATCAAGAAATAAAAAATTGTTTCGGTAAGTACCTATTATTTTATTTTTTCTTACTTTTCATATTGTACATTTTTTTTTTACTATGGCTTGAACAATGAAGTCATTAGCTAAGGAGAACAATTTACATTTTATATTTTGAGCTACAACCGCAGATAGCTAGATAGCTGACTCCATATTTAACAACCTGATTGAATTATGACGTCCTACTCCTTTGTCAATTGGGAAATGTAAATTATATAATGTATTACAAGTATATATTATATATTATCACTCATGCAATTTTGACCCGATCTAGGACATCTTGGCGTGGCCGTATTGGCGTGGCCACTTTGGCGTAAACCAATTTAGCGTATGGAAATTTTGGCGTTAAGTTTTGGTCTAATATGATTAGTACCTATGCCAGTAGTTGTCTGTGCGATTAATATAATAAATAATAAATATAAATATAAATGTATATAAATAAAAAGTAATAGACTTTGATAGTTAGTTCATATAAATAAAAAAAATTTAAAAAAAAAATAGAATTTAGTAACAACTTATATTTTGAGCTATTCCCCTTAAAAAACTAACCATGTTGCGATTGTTGTAATCTTCTACAATTAAAAAAATTCTTTTGTCGACATCTATACATTTTTTTTTCTTTTTTGGAGGACTATTTCCAGTTTCTAGATGTTGACAAAATGTATCACGTCCTGTCTGAACTTTTCTTAAGTTTGTAATAAATGTCCACAATGTTGGATGTTGTACATCCATTTGTAAATTCAGTCGTCTATTGGCTGCTTCAGCGTGGTTATTTGTCCTGTCTTCTTTATTTAATACCCGTTCATGATCGTTCCACAATACAGGTGGAAATCGAGCAGGGCGTCGACGATTTCTTAATGTTCTACCAACATAGAATGCTTCGAACCAATCTAAAAGAGGTAACACCTCTGGAGGTATGTGTTCAGTTAGTTTCTCTATTGCTTTGTCTAAATCATTAATTTTAACAAATGCCAATCCTAAGACCATTTTTAACCCTATAGAAAATTCTGCATTATTTTTGTACTTAGACATTAAATCTAATTCACACATTTTCAACCTAAAGTTTTTTGATAGGTGAAATAGGCAACCAAATATTTTAACCTCAAGAAATATATTTTGAAAAGCTTTAATAGCCACTTGTTCGAAGTCGCATGCTATTGAAATCGGTTTTAGCCCGGGTTTTATGTTTATAATTATTTGTAATAACTGTTAATATGTTTGTTTCTTTTGTCTGGTAAAAGCGCATAAAGCAAAGGATGATCACTGTTCATATATTTTGCCAATATTACATAAATTTGAGAAAAAAGTGATGGCGCAACTTTTAGAGTACCATCTGTATACCGACTAGTAGATTCAGCTAAATATTTCTAAGCTCCGATAACGACCAAATATTAAAATCCTATTTTCACCTGGTCCGCTGTCATGTAGTAAAAATTATTATACAATACCCTCTGATGGCGAATAAGTTTTAAATTCATCAGGTATCATAAGTGTCATCAAGTCTTTTGGTGCATCCGGGGCTGCTTGTATTTCACGACGTATTCTCCTGATTTGTTTTTTATGGCTCCGTCTGCTGCTAACGCTCCCTTAAAAATATAGAAATAGGCAACATAATGTAGCTCTAAATTTTCTTATTTTTGTCGCAACCACGGAGATAACACATGCGGGTGCGACGTCTTCTATTCCTTATATAAATTATCATTAAACGATTGTACGATTGAACCCAATCAACTGTGACAAATTGACGGGCATAAATTGTACACTATACTGTATATATCTAACCAAAAATAAAAATTATGTACCTTAGCCGCTTGTGAAATCCCACTGGTACATTCATTATGTCAATAGATGTACAGTAGAACAGTAGTTCTCAATCTTTTTAATACCGCGACCTAAATTTCCCCCGAAAAATCTTTCGCGACCCACATTGTTTCAATTTTCGACAATTTGTGGAAAACAAAATTTGTATTATATAAATATGTATACATTTTTATTAGGTATTTAGTTTTTTTATAGATTTATAATTAATATGAATAAAAATATAATTAATATAATTAAAATGTACTTTTTATAATAAGGTACCTAACATAAATTTCTTGGAATCTATATAATTTAAAAAAATGTTCCCGACCCACCAGTGGGTCGCAACCCACACTTTGAGAAACGCTGCAGTAGAACGTAGATTATCTAACCAAAAATAAAAATTATGTACCTTAGCCGCTTGTGAAATCCCACTGGTACATTCATTTATTACGCTCGACGTTGGTTCTAGAGTGTCTTTTGCTCGTTGTTTCATATTTGTAATTGCCACATTTGCTTCAATCAAAGCTGCCTCTGAATCATGGTTATGATCATTTAGAATCTTTAACACCTATAATATTTTCCACATTATTATTTAAATCACTATTAATTAAAACATATATACATACATTTATTGAATAGTAAAAATATTTTTACCTTGGACGTTTCAGTTGACGTATGAATACGACAAGGACAATCATTTTTGTATCGGCATCTCCAAAATTGTTTTGTTTTATTAAAATTTTATGCATCAAATGTGTACATATATCCATCGTGGGTGTATATTTCTCGACCGCGAATGCTCTTTACTTGAGCCATAGTCGATTACAACTGATTAGGTGAATATACCTCGACCTCGAATGCTCTTTATTTGAGCCATTGTCGATTACAACTGATTAGTAAATATTAAATTTTATGTCAATTGATTACTAATAACTGATTACCCGCAACAAATATTCTATTACGCCAAAACCAAAATTTGCCAAAATTGTCAATACTATCCTGGAGTCTGTTATCTAGTTATGATATATATTTGTGGTAATAACATATACATTCATCTTAATTATCTTATAAGTATATGCCTAATTAGGTAATAATAATAATAATAATAATAACAATAACTATATATAGGTACGTTTGTGAAGTATTTAAATTCGGTTGTACAGATTGTTTTTCTTAAGGAAATACATTATTTAATTAGCATGGCCATTCAAGGGGGAGGTGCTCTATGGATATTAAAGATAATATATGTTGCGAAATTCGGGTGTGAGTCTTTGTTCTTTTTTTGGAATTTCTAGTCGTTTATAATCAAAGTACCTACAATGCTATTATAATATATGGATAACAACATAATTTAATAATTTAAATTATTTACTTTTATTCTGTAATATATAGATATTTAGACTTATAACTATTGTGAATGTGTAAACATAAGTTTCTCAAAAAAAAAAATATGAAGGGAAGTAAGTAAATAGCTATGTATGATGAGATGACAATGTCCCTCCAATCATCTAGCCTTTGAAAGTGAAAAAAATGTGTGGATAAGCCTAATGCATTTTATATCGTGTATTCGTGTGACGGTTTATTTAATAATATTGTTAGATAGTTTGATTCGATCGTTTATCGAAGGATACCTATACAGTTGAAATATTAATCAAATATATTCCAAGGAGATTCGATAATGTTATAGGTTCCTAATTCTTACATTTGGTCTCCCATATTTTAGTTCCACTATCAGTAAAGATGTAAACTGTTTGAATATGCTGTTAAATCATACATTTATTGTTTGTTCAAATAATCATATGTAAATAAATTAATATGTATATAACCGAATATCGGGGTAAATTATGAAGTGAAACAATGAAAATAATTTTTACACTTATTTAATTTACTAGTTGCGTAGACATTAAACACATAATATACTTATAATATTTACTTACATTGGTTCATAATTTTAAAAATATTATAAATGTTTGTTGTTATTCTAAACAACCTATTATTGCAGATGAATTTGAAAGCCTACAATTATTGGAGGTGCATATGGACGGTTATAGTATTAATACTTTTATAATTTTATATTACATATTTTGTGTGCCTAAAATATAAATATTATTCATAGATTATTTGAAAACCGAAGGTTTCAAAATAATGCGAGGAATACATCATTAATTTAACGGATAATAACATTTATTGGCCTAATTTATTTATCTGGCCCAAAAAATGGAAAAGTGATTTATGTAATATTTTATATTCTTCTTGTTTAATTTTTTTTATCAACATAGTTTACTTTATAGGATAAATAGTAATAAACACATAGGCAAATATAATATTAATTATTAGGTGTCATGTTTCAATTTCCTCCAAATTGGCAATCATATGCATACGTGTAATTTAGGGCTAATAAGTAAATTATTGAAGGGGGGGAGCTATTGTTATATGTATTCCTTGTGATAGGCTGAAATCGGAAATTTTTACAATAACTCAAGTGTCTTTTATAATATTTATAGTGTCGATGTCAAAATACAGACGATTGGGTGACGAAAGCTCATATTATAAGTGAGTTTACATAAATTATTGATAATATAGTTCTATTGTAGGTATTTTAATATTTCGTGGAAGTAATGCAGGTCGTCGATTTAAAAACTGAAAATAAAAAAGGTATTTTAATATTTAATAATATTCACTATGCATGTATTTAATTCAGTGGGACTAGTTGACTCTAAGACAAATGTTGAAAGACATGTATGTGGAAAAATTATGTACACGTGATACGATACTGATTTATACTCCTTAACCGGCATAAGAGGTACTCATTGTAATCATTATTTGTAGGAGTACATTTATTTTGCTGGTAATTGTCTAATCATGTCCACGGGACGGGCAGCCCAGGTTATTGTTTAGGTATACATATATGTATATTATATAGTATTATACATATTGTGAAAATTGCGACTAAATATATAATAAAGCACACTGTTCAAATGAGATGAATACGTAGGTAGATTAAATAAGCAATAACCATTAACCATATCATAAAAATGTATTAATAATAATATTATAGTGTTTTAATAATAATAATGATAATCTTACCTAACATATCGATTTTTTTTTTTGGCAACATTCCTAACCGGCACTATACCATTAATTTAAACTTTAGAGTTAGAATTTATTCACCTGCGTATCACGATTTAAGATTTAAGTGGTTAGCAATCCACTAGCATAATCCACTCAATCTTTAACACCTCAGCGAGTTTCACGGGCTCTGGAACCGTCAACTTCGGAAGGAACTGTTAGTATTATGTTATAATTTTTCAGTGTATTCTGTTATTAATCACATAACTTTTGAATGACTTAACCGATTGAAAATGAAAGTTAAAATAATAGAATTTTAAGTCTAGGGGTGTATTTAAAGAGTATTTTCAATCTCCATGGTTAGAACTACCTACAACATTTATAAATTAAATTCTGGCCAATGGTAATCACTTGAAAACGACGCACACGATGGTTATGAAACCTTACCTATGGTGAAAAACATTTATATATGTATGCAAAATGTATATCTTTAAACATATATGAGAATTAAATGTATGTTTGTAGCATATAAACTCAAAAACTATTTAATCGACATTCTAAAACTTTCAAATTGTTCTTAGAAACAACAAGAAAGGTTGTACACAAATATATAGTACAGTTATTGGTTACGTATTATAATTTTTAAATAATATCATAACAAATAGAAGGTATATTAAACATACATTTTTTATAAAAAAAAAGCTTTGACACGTGCCACTCTGTCTCTTTCAGCTAATGTATTATATATTTTATTCTAATTGTATTAATTGTATTGCTCAGGGAAATCCGGTTTTTCTAAACTCAGAGGTTTGTCAATTTTCTAAGATTATAATTGTTTAAAATATTGTTTTTTAATAAAATAAAAAACGTTTGAATTATAAAGCGTTTATAATTCATGGATAATAAATTACTTTGCATCTAAATAAAAAAATGATCTCTATAATAAAGTATGTAACAAAAATATATATTAGTATATTATTTCAGGAAATATAAAAAACTTTATATTTGTATTTGCGAATGGTAAAAATTATTTAATTGACGACAGTGCAATATAAATATGAGTATATGACATAAAATAATATAATATTATTAATTAAAAATTAACGTTTTTATTCTTATTTTTTAGGTACCAAGACTACTCCTACAGAATTTTGTTTACAAACCTTTAACGATTGAGTTACGTTTAAATAAATCATACTTGCCACTTGGCATAACTATTAAGTTTTTTTCATTATGGTTGTTAAATGTAAGAAAATCGTTCTTTATTAAATAAGATGGTTTTATATTATTATTATTATTATGGGCCACACCAGGCCACAATTCTATATTATGTTATGTATTAATAAATGTCTCACCATAATTTATTGCAAATATTTTTTTTTTAAATTTAAACTTGCACATGTTATCAACATATTTTGTATTAAATTGAATTGCATAATACTAATGGATTAATAAAACTATATCTTATATCTGTTAATTTTGTATATAGGAACAACTGTTGGTCAGGGACTAGAGTTATGGAACTTAGGTAAAAATATAAACACGGAAAAAAATATTTAGTTCAGTTAACAGAATTTATTTTTATTTTAACTATAATGGGATTATACTTACTAGTAACTAGTTACTTAAGCTTTTAAGTGATTATAAATATAATTGGGTATAATAACATAATCAATTTAATGTATAGGTTTCTTCAATCGTGCTGAACAGTTAGCTCGTAATAACTAGTTCAGTGGCACCACTAGATAAAGAGAAACTGAAATTGTTTGGGTGACCGAAAATCACAGACTTGTTAATATATGGACTGTACTTCCCCCATACCCTACAACCATATGTTGCCTTGTGCCAACATTGTTAGAAAGAGATGGTCAACACCCAAGTAATATGCGACCTGACTACCTAAGATATATGCCAACTTCTTCAAAAATGTTGTTTTCTTTGTTGTTGAACTAATCTTTCTTACTCACTCTTTCTCTCTCTTTCTCGCTATCAATGGGTACAAATTTTACCTAATTTGTATGCCATTTTTTTCTAACAATGTTTTTTCTTAGTTATCTCTCTGTTATCAATCCATTTATTTATAGGTATATGGCTAAAATACAATAAAAGTGTATGTATAAATATAACACGAAGGTTTATGGGTTGATATGATTATCATACAAATTCAATTTATTAAAAATCAAAATCTAATCCAATAACATCACCATGTCATTTTCTGGACATACATTATATGTGGCAGGTGACAGCGCAGTTATATCAAAACATTTTTAGACTTACTTATAATAAACGCTATGCTGATTTTAATAAACTTAATAATAAATATATTCACTTTAACCCTTTTAAAAATGTTGGCGCATTTACAGTTGGTTGTATCAATTAAACTGCTTTAGCTATATACAAAAATATCATGCTACCTACCTAACCTAACCTGCCTGAGCACTGTTCTCAATAAAGTATTCAACAAATTTGGCTGTTGGAATATTAATTAAAGTCGACATTTTACTTGATTAGACAGTATTCACTATATAGTAACCACAAGTTGGTACGTAAAACACATAATTTCTCATTTCATCACGAATCTAGGGTTTATTCTATGCACCCTACGAATGTGTTCTTGTATGAAAATTGAACATTTTTCGTATGAAATTCCATTGCTGTATTTTTTAACATATTTCGTATCATAACAATTCATTAAAATATAATTGAACAGTATAAAATCATTATGATTTTAAATTTGTTCATATTGTCGTAAAATCCAGAATAACTTAAAGTAATTCTGTGCACAAAATGGTTAGTTTTGCATACAACTTTAATGATTTTCAACAATGTCATATTGAGTACTTTTATATTA